AAAATACAGTTATTTAAAATTTAATGTTTGGAATTTTTAAATATACTAATAACTATAGACCATATTTGAAAATCCTTAAAAATATGCGCATTATACAACATAAAAAGTGTCACAACACACTTCTGTTTTCTAAAAAATAATTTTCTTTTCAAGTATAAATGATTTAGTGGCCCTATTTTTTAAAAAATTTTTCTTATGAAAATAAAAATTCATTGGAGTAGTTTTTGAGTGATTAAACTTTGTATACCAAGAATATAATAGATCTATAATAATACATTTTGAAGATATGGCGTTAATGGACGCTTTAGACGCTATGAAAGGATTTAAAAATTGTATTACTTAATATAAATATATTTCAACACTTATAATTAGTAATTTGTAACGTCCAAGGGCACTCCTTAGTAGCTTAATAAAATACAAAAATTCGATTATTAAAAGAACAAATAAAGTGAGCATATTTGGTAAATCCACCCCTAATATTACTTATGATATATATATATATATATAATATAAGTACATCTATTAATATTAAAAATAAATTTTAAAGTTCCGTTAGAAATTAATCACTCGTTATATATATTATACTGGTATCAAATTGCTCAAACGTTGAAAACTAAAAAAATAAATACACATTGAACAACAATTAATAGTTTAGTATTTTCTAGAATCAGTGGAGTCTATAGTAAAAGCAAGCAAACAAAAATTTTAAGTACATATTATTTCAAAAAGGAAAAACTTACTTTATTTATTGTTTCAATGTTCAATATCGGAACAGATTTTTTAATTGCAAACGAAACCTCGTTTAATATGAACTTAGCATTACCATTATATAGGATTAGCTAAATGGGTACCCATAACAGGCACTAACATTTTACATTTTTATACCACCAATTTGTGTATAGTCATATACTCATAAAATATATTATCGTATAATATACAATTTTTATATCAAAATTAACAACACTGTATTAAAATATATAAATAAATTTATTTAATTTAAATTTTTCATATAACTTATAATCAATTTTCATTGCTAACTGAATTTTTTTTAAATTAGATTATTTTAAAATATCTAATACCCATTTAGAAAAATTAAACTTTTAAAATTTATCTTACCAGTTTTAATATTTTAACTGTCATTGTAAATGTACTGTTTATTTTAAACGTATCACTTAGTATAATATAACATCATTACAATATAAATATTATGCATACCTATATATTTGATAAAAATTAAGTAACCTATATATAATTAGATATAATTATTAAATAATTAGTTTACAAGTTTATAACTACTGAGTATATTAATTATTGGACCATAGTCCAGTACATATATTACATTAACTAAATAATATAAAGTTAATCAATTTTACGATACTTATAATATGAATATCAAAATTAATATTATTAGTTATAGGTAGGACTGTGAATTTGTTGAAAAGTCCATTTTTTTTTTTTTTTTGGCGATTTTGAAACATAGCTTTGTAAATACATAATTTGAATTATGTAACAACGAATTCATTAATAAAACTTTTATTTTGCATTTTTTATTGCATTTTTTGACGTTTTTAATTTTTAGGAAATTTTTTTTGCACTTTTAGGTCATTTTTTTTTTTTTTTTTTAAGGCGTTTACAGGCCATTCAGGCCCATTGCCGCAACAACCACTTGCCTCCACCTGTCTCGGTCTCTTGCCAGCTCTTCCCCATCCTCTATTCCAAGTTCCCTCAAGTCCTTGACCACTCTATCCTTCCATCTTTGTCTAGGACGTCCTCTAGGCCTTTTTGTATTTGGCTTCCATTTCGTAACCTGTCCAATTGGCCCCTCTGATCTCCACACGTGTCCGGCCCAGCTCAGCCTACTACTTTTTAAAATTCCGTTAATATTCGGTTCTCCGTATAGGTATTGGATCTCCTGATTTGTTCTTATTTTGTATTCTCCTTCGTTGTTTGTTTTTGGACCATAGATTCTCCTTAATATCTTCCGCTCGAAGGTGGCCAATTTTAGTTCATCCGATTTTGTAGTGGCCCACGTCCCACATGCATACAAAGCTATAGGTCTTACTAGTACTTTATAAAGGGTTATTTTTGTCTTCCATGATAATATCTTTGATTTAAATAGCGGGACCAATCCAAAATAACATCTGTTTGCCGCTGCTAATCTTATCTTTATTTCCTCATGGCTATTTGCATCCTTGTTGATGTCCACTCCTAAGTATTTAAAATCATCTACTTTTTCGAACTTATATTCCCCAATATCCAGGTGTCCTCCTCTATGGTTATTCCTAGTTACGACCATATATTTTGTCTTATCCTCATTTATAATTAATCCTATTCTCTTTCCATTTTCCAGCAAATTTCGTGTTGTCTCCTTTAGATTTTCTTCATTTTCTGCCATTAACACTAAATCATCTGCATAGGCAGCTATAATTAGTTGTTTGTCAATTCCAATTTTTATTCCACTTGCTGTTACTAGGGTATCTCTTACGACTGATTCCAATGCTAAATTGAAAAGAGCTGGGGACAAGGCATCACCTTGTCTAAGCCCAGTCACCACCTCAAAATCCTCCGATACGACATCTCCGAATTTCACTTTACACTTTGATCCTTGTACACAAGCTCGGACTAGTCTTACAAACTTTTCAGGTATACCCAATTGGCACATAGCGCTCCATAGTTTCTCTCTATTCACCATATCATATGCGGCCTTAAAATCAATAAAAAGGAGGTGTATATCTTTGTCAAATTCATGGCTTTTTTCGATCACTTGCTTAATAACATGTATTTGATCCTGGGTTGACTTCCCTGTCATAAACCCTCCCTGGTAATCTCCAATAATTTCTCGTAAATAGGGTTTAATTCTAGTAAGTAGAATATTAGACAGTATCTTATATGACGTGTTCAAAAGGGAGATTCCCCTATAATTTTTGCAATTCATGGGGTCTCCCTTTTTAAGAATAGGACATAAAACAGATGTACGCCACGATCTTGGTATTTCTTCATGTTCCCAAACTTTAGTAATTAGGTTGTGTAGCTGGTTTATTAGTTGTTGTCCTCCCTTTTTAAGGCATTCAGAAATTATCTCTTTTAGGTCATATTTTCCTTTTTTAGTGCATTGAATTTACAGCCCTAATTATAGGTTTATTTATTGTTTTTATAGAAATATGGATTATTCAAACTAAATAACTATCATTTAATAGTATTTATAGTATTTATATTTTTTAAATGCGTATGATAATGTAAAAAATTATTTTTAAATATTGTTAAAAATTTAGATGTTTTCTTCGCAATATATATTGTTAAACGAGAAAATAGTTGGTATAAGTACTCATACGTATCTAATACAGCATAACATGTTATAGCAATCAATAATAGCATAGATAAAAATTATTATATTTCATAAATTACGTACGATACTCGGTCAAGCGGACTGTAGGTAATGATATTCACAATGTACATTGCATAATTAAATAAAAACCAATTTCGTTTGTCGTGATCAACGGTCAATGATTACTATTGAAATACACTTATATAAAAGTTTAGAGATACAAAATAGCGTTGGCTAGCAAAGAACAATAATAAATTATAATAACAAATAATTTATGATTAAATATCAATTAAAAAACATGAAATTATAATAAATATGTAAAAAGGAAAACAATAAATTTATACAAGAACCGTGTTATTGATGCGCACTCTGGTTGACTGCGGTGACGGTAGACGGTTATTGCATTTATTTAAATTTAATAAAACGGCATCCACGGACTTCAGTCCAAGCACGGGTGTTACTAATTAACACGATTATTCGATGATGGTGATTTTCTGTTTAGCAATCAGCTTATAACTAAAACCACAACCTGAGATGGTACTATATTGAACAATATAGATTAGTAAAAAAAAAGATCTGATCTCACTATAAAATACGATTTTCTTATTTTTGTAACCGAAAATCTCTTACAGAAATTGATTTAAGAAATCTATTTCTGCAATAATAAATAAGTATGATGACAAAATTAGTTAGAATAACATTTAAATATTTGGATAGGAAGACCTTCAGTAGTACCACCTGACAAGAAAAGTATATATTATATTAAGCATCATAAACCAAATTTTAAAATTTGGGCAACTCTAGACTCATATGTTATATCTATGCAGTATTAGAGACGAACCGAAGGTGGATCGTGAGAAATTAAAATCCTGCTCTCCTCCACTCAGCAATTTTAGAAATTAAATCAACAATCGTCACTTGGTGATTTTGTTCAACTGAAATATATCAATAATTTAAATTGTTTCAAAACTAGAAAAATTAAATTTAATAAATGATTTAATATGATTTGATAAGCTATAAATATATTATGTTGAGATTACTTAAACTTAATATTTCTGAGCGACTGGGCAAATAACAGTGTATCGCGGTAGCTTATAGCGAGAGACGAAATAACGAAACCTACCACATCTCTTATTTGATCAACGTTCCGTTTTTTGGTTTACAATCGGCAATTTAATAGGTACTCTATAGTCGTTTTAAATACTGAAATCTATCATATTTAATGATTTACAGTATCGCAGTGACTTACCAGTTGCCGCAGTTGTCAGTGTAATTTTTTTTAATTTTATTTAAAATTGCACATTTAATAAGTTTTCAACTATGAAAAGATTATTAAATTTTTGTGACTTTGAGGAATTTTTCAACATTTTTAACTTCAAATGCTTATAAAAATAAACTGTGACTATCGCGAACGCTAGAGGGGGGTGGGTAACAATAACAATGCAATATTGTTGATAACAATAATTTTTACTCCACATTTGAAGAAAATTTAATTGAGGCATTAGCTTGTGACATTCCTCGTAATAATAAAAAAATAAATTATATTATAATTAGGTAGGAAAAAAAAATATGAGGAGCAATTCCTTTTACGCACCTCCTCCCCTCTTACATCCTCTAATTCGATCACTGGTTACAAATAAACATCATTATTATAGTGCAAACAAAATATCATGTTTGTTAGAAGTGGGATTCGAACCCACGCCCTCAGATGAAGACCAGAACGCTCAAATTAAGCTTGTATTAGCAAGCCAAGGTAACCTTGAGTCTGGCGCCTTAGACCGCTCGGCCATCCTGACGTATGAAACAACGGAACTGATATAAAACTTTTTACAATTCTGAAAGTTCATAACACAAATAGAACGTATTCATATTAAAATTATGTGAAGTTAAAAAATAGCTGTTTTATCATCTCTAATGATTTATTGAAAACTAAACTAATACTTTAAAATAATTTAATTTAAGTCGTAAACATTTAAGCAATTTAAACTAACTTCAAAATAGTATGAAACAAAATTGAATTTAATAAAAAACGATGTAACATACTAGAAAAAGTTTTTAATACAATAAATATATTTTAACGAGCTTTTTTATTATCTGTTTGCAAAAACACAAATTGTATTATATTTATATAAAATCAATGCAGTGCAAGACAAACGTATTATGATACCTCTAACTATGACGAGCGAAAATTCAACTTCATTCTTCTGTGAATCAAAACTATAAAAACTTTTTTCTGTCGGTAAATAATTCTTTTGGACGTTTATTAATTATTTATTTTTTTAAATTTAATCGATATTTATTTAACTGTCTACTTTGCACTCGCAACTATTATACATTTAAATATATTATATTATTTTTATTTTTATAGTACCTATTAATTAAAAATTTAATTTTTTTTTAATTTTTAATAAATACATGATAGTATATGCTATATAAATATTTATATTTCTTACTTTTAAAATTAAGTTGTATATATCTAAAGAATGATTTATTTTTGAACAAAAATGCATTTATCTATGTGTAAGTCGCAACTTGCAATATACTTCTTAAGATATTTAAAAACTCATAAAAAAGGACGTGAAACGTAAAAACCTTAGGTCACTATAAAAAAAAGCATGTGTATAAAATATTCTAAAATAATTAGTTGACCTCTAAAGTATAAACTTTGAAAATAAGTTCTATGACTTTTTATACTATATACTTAAAATAAAACATGCATATACTATATAAATTAAATGTATAGTATGTAAATTGTACAGTGTACATTAATCATTTAATTTAGTACAAATTAAAAATTTATAAATCGATAAATGTAGGAAAATGTAATACTCAAACAATGTTATACTATCAAAACTGTTGACGGAAGTAAAATTGTTAAAACGAAATTTGGTTTTAGCCATTTAGCCATCTAACTAACTACAATTGACCGAAATCGGAAGGTGGGTAGCTACAATTTTATTGTATTATTTTACAATCATGACAAAATAATATGAATGTTTAAAATATTTTAATAGGTAGTATTGTATAGTAATGATATTATTAGGTACAAACACTTTAAATTACTTTATTGCATGTATCTGAACCTACTTACTAGATTTTTTCTTAATAACACAACATTTGAGTATATTTTATGTAAATGTACCTAGCAGCTATAAATTATGCGACGCACATTAGAAATTCTAAGCCTTACGGTTTGCGTGAGTGTTGTCAACCTTATTTTTAATTATATACAATCATAAAATGTATGAATATACATTAATTATTATTATTATTATTATTGAGATCAAAAATAAATATTCATAATATTATTGTAATATGAACTAAATTTTACTAGTTATTTTAAATTTTAATCATTCAATTTTTATAATAATTTATAACATAAGTGATGTTTTTAATATACAAAACAATTTACTTTTTATCTTTAAAATTCCCTCTATTAACATTATAAATTTAAAAAAATAATGAATAATAAATACATTTTTTATTTTATACGCAAAATTGTAAAAGTCAATTTAAAATTGTTTGAATAGATCAAGTTATTAAGTTCAAACAAAATTCGTTGTTTGTAAAAATTAATTAAGTTAAACATTAATTCAAAATTTATTTATGAGCGAAACGGAATGATAAAGACTCCTCTAGAGTACAAAATATTTGTCTTTTATTCCATTAATATAAACTCAATACTAAATACTTATTATTAACTAAACTAACCGTAGGAAATCTGACTTTTTTAAAATTCAAAAATACTTTGTAAATTAAATTATAAATAAACGACGTCAATCAAAAAATGAATAACACGATAACTATAAAAAATATTAATATATATTTTTTTAACTTTAAACTATTTAAAATTAAGTCTAAGAAAAAATATTTCTAAAGTGTTAATTCTTTTCAAGAAAATTAATGTTACTCCCTATCACTCACTCAGTATAACGTAGCCATAAACTGTGAGATTTTTAAACCGCTTAGCCATTTGAAGGACTGAAATGACTGAATAATATTCTGCCCATCTGTATATTATACGAAAATTTCAAATTCAAAATTGGTATTTTCCCATTTATGCGATCGACCATGCGCAATTCTGTTTTACCAATAAATTTACTATGCTAGTAAGTACTCAGTAAAACTTTTTTGAAAATTAATTATTATTTGAAATCACTATCGTTCAAAATAATAATGTCGTTATTCACTGTGGAAAACCAAGTTTTATGTACATATTGTATAAAGACAAATCGGGTCATAACTACGTCCTCTTACTTTGGCATTTTTAGGGGTAACCTTATTTTATTTTTTGGCATTCATAGATTAGTGTTTTAGCATAAAATTTAGAATAAATACGTGTCCAATATAAATTGTTAACAAAGATAGACTACAATATATTAAATACATTTGTATCTATTCAATCTATTATTTAGATACTTATTTCTTTGAAGTATTTTATTTTTTTCCGTCAAGATATCAAGTGTAAATGAAGATACACTTTATATTTTTTGAATTTTTTTTTTATTGTTATAAATTTTGAAACATTTATGATCTATAACACAGTATAATGATATGTACTTATAGGCTTTATTGAAAAAAATTTCTAAGAACTTATTTTTTAATTTTTACTCTGTCTATACTCTGTACGCACAGTACATGTACATTTTACACAATATTATAATATAATAATACAATAATGTACAATATTATAATGTGCATTAAGTTGTTGATACACACTATTGTTCGGACTAACCTGTTCATTATCGTATTATTGTTAGTAGCTATTCACAAATCGTCGTATTTAATGAATATGAACTACAACGTAATATAATATACTGGCGCAACTCAAATACATTTCAACTGATAGGTCAATTAACTCGTATTGCAATAATTATATACAATTGGTATAATATTATCGATATATATCTATATACCAGATACCTATGCTATATTTAAATTATGTTAACACTTATAATATAATTATACGAATTAAGTAGTTATCCTAAAAGTGTAAATAATAAATATTAGCCATAGTTCAATATGTTATAACCGCTACGATGATGTCTACCGTATTCTATTTTTGGTTTAATATGTTATTTACCTACAGAAAAAATATAATCAATGTAGGTATAGACGGCTCTCTTTTCGCCCAAAAATAACTTCCCTCTTATCACTTACGTCTTTTTTTCAACTAAATCCTTTCCCCTAAAAATAAATTCAATCTTTTCGACCACAGTTTCACGTTCAACAATTTGAGAAGCGCTGTCTTAAAATTAATTTAATTAAGTTATTTAGCATAACCCAGGGAGCACTACAAGGAGACGGTTTCTATTACTCTCCAAAAATGTACTGTGTTTGTGTACATTAAAGTAATTATTGTATAATACTCGTATAATAGTAAAAACTGAGGTATACATATATTTAATGAATATAATTCATTTATGACATTTTTCTGAAGATAAGAAAGCAAAAGAATGACAATTATAAAATGTAGATAAAATCCAGCAATATAATAGCGAAAAGTTAAGCCAATATAAATTTATTCAATCTTGTCACTCAGCTTGATTAACTACTAATTAATAATCACATAAAATACATAATATAAATATCTTTTTTAATACTGTAACAAGTTATAACAATTAATTACAAATACTCACCTATATTATACAATAATTACTGAAGAGAAATAGAAACTGCTTCCTCGCAGTGCTCTTTGGTTATTCTAAATGACTTTATTAAGCTAATAGTAAAAAACAGTACTTCCCAAAATATTGAATATGAAACCATGGGCGAAAAAATGCCGTTGAGTTTAGACGAGAAGAAAAAATTACTTTATCGTATTTGATTGAAAAGAAAACATGAGAGAAAAGAGCAAGATCATTGTTTAGCGAAAGAAATTGTGCTTCAATTTTTAAGTATAGTACAGTATTTTATTTTATTTTCAAGCTTATACAGCTTAAACAATAAATGATTAACATTGAACAAAAATGAAAAAGTGATAAAAGACAATAAAAATTTGAGGAATTGTCTAGGTTAGATTAAAATAATTTCTTCAATAATTCTGACGTTTTGAGGATAAAGAAAATAATCACAATTTATTGAAGTTGTATATAGGAACCTTAGAGTTTTGGCCCATGCTAAAAAAAATTTCATATTAAAGTGCAATACACCAACAATCCTAATACATATTATTAAAACTTAACTAAATATTTAACTTTTGATTTTTTTTCAATACATCAGACATAATATTTTATAACATTAAAATTATTATAATTATTTTATATTGTATTTTTGTATTTAAATAAAGACATATAGAAATATATATATCTTGTTTTGAACACTATTTTTATTAAATTAAATGTAAAAATAAAAATATTTAGTAGATATAAATATCATAAAAAATAACATACCCACGCGGGCACGCGGCCACTGCGGCCACGCTATTGCGTCTCAGACTTTCAATAATTAAAAACGGTTGTATTATTAGTATTATTGTAATTGAAAAAATAAAATAAAATATCAAGTAGGTAAATTTATTGTATATTCATTTTTTTTTAAAGATAATTAATTTTGAACAATGAATTGTCAACATTGATTTTTTTTATAAATCATAAAAAAATGCAAAAAATTTGTCAGAAGTGGGATTCGAACCCACGCCCTCAGATGAGGACCAGAATGCTCGATCCGACCTGCATAGCAGGCCAAGGTTCAACCTTGAGTCTGGCGCCTTAGACCGCTCGGCCATCCTGACATGTTACATGAGTGTAAAAGTAAGTTTTGATAAATTAAATATATATAAAAAATGAACAATATT